TTTTCTTTTTCCCCCCCCCCCCCCCCCCAACGACTCTTTGCTGCAGCAAATGCTCTGGATCTCAGAAATATTCAGAAAGACTTTTTAGAAAAAATTCTTCTACTAACATGGTAAATTCAGTCTCCTTGAAATTTTACTTTGAAAAGTAGATGCCTTTTCTGGAGGATAAACGTTAGCCAGACCAAATAATTTTGGCTTCATGAAAGCATTACTGTATTAGATTTTTGGGTCCTTATTAAACAGGTCAAACTAAATGATCTAATGGGCTCTTCTGGCCTTGAAATCTGTGAATTGCTGCTTTGCTCTCCCAGTCCAGGTCCTGTATTTCCCTGAAGCATTTGAATAAATGACCGTCACTAAAACCAAAGCAAGACGCAATGGAAAATGTCAGGATGTTCCTGCCATGCGCTTGGCGCATAGGACGAAGAGGAAGTAACATTAACACAGCGATGTACATTTGATGAATTGTTTGCAGTTTTCAGACTGTTTAGATTAACTTCCTTGGGAAAGGGACATTTGTTTTCTGTTTGTAGAGCCTGTTGTAATATATTGCTATTTACAACTTCTTCAAAAAGTAACTTGGGGAAATGGGAGAGAGTTCCCGGAAAAACTCCACCTGCTTCTACTTGTTAGAGTTTTGGCAGCTTCGAGTCTCCAACTTTTAATGAGTGTTAGGCACTTGTCTTTGTAATTAAATGAAACAAAACAAACCCACCTGTTCCAACTCTCAGGCTGAGGCTTTCACTTACCACAGAGGTGACTGCCTATCTGCTTCTGTGGCCAGCAATATGCCCATTTACCATTGTGAATAAAAAGGCCCAGACTGTAAATCTTCCACACATCTCTGGTCACTTTTATGAACTTGAGTTCAGCCATGTGAAATTTAAGTTTTTGTAATGAGAATCTAACTGAAGTGGGTTGGAGTAGCTGCTGCACCAACTTGCGAAAAAGGATTTTATTTTGAATCCTGTTTTTTCAGTTATCATGGAAGATGGCACTAATGGAGTGTGTGTGTACTGTTTGCTTTAAACACTTCTGCAGTGGAAGAATAAAGGCTGATGGTTGCAAGTCATAACTAACAATGTGGCTAGTTCACATGGAATTAGTGATACATGATTTGGAACTGGGGGCATTTAGGCGCACACTTTTCTGTCCTGCGATGCACTGGAGATCCACCACTTCAGAGCAGACTCGATTAATTGAGTCTGCTCCGCACGTGAGCTGAGGTGAACTGCGCTGTGCCGCATGCGGTTGTGTAAGCGGTGAAAATGCGTATCAGTGTGCAGAAAATGGCAGTGGTGCACTTTTGAACTAGAAAACCTCCAATGTGTGTTAGTTCAAAAGTGTGCTGATGTGCATTTCGCCACTTATACAATTGCAAGGTTTGCAGCACCGGGTGCTTTTCAAAGCACCCGGCGCTACACTGCTTACATGTGTAAAAGTGCTGTATTAGTTTCTACTAGACTGAGATGGAACTTCCCAGTTGGGCCAGAATGTAATAACATCTATTTTAAAATCACAAATTCTCTGATTTTTCTCTCCCCCCCGCCCCAAAATCTGTGTGTGTGTATATATATTACAGTGAGTCACGCACTGGTAGGCTTTCAGATTTTCTTTTTACAATTTTAATGCAATTTGAAAGCCTACCAGTGCCTGAATCACTATAATACATTTTAAATACCTATACATTTTGGCATTTGATTTTTGGGGGTTTTTATCATGAAAAACCAGCGCTCTCCCTGTTCCCTTGGCTCATCTGGACATAGTGCCACAAAGCAGTGGGGGAGGACAGCTGCAGCTGGACCCAAGCATCCCTGATATGCAGGTGCCCTGCTGTTGCCTCTCACTCCCTGCCCAGCCTTGCCAGAAGGGGCCCCCAGCTGCCAGGGCTATGGGACCAGAGACCCAAGTCTGCAGCCACCTGCGGCTGGAGCGGGAAGCAGAGCCCAGCCAGGGGGTGGGTGTGAGCTGTCCCCTGCTGCCTTACCTCTGGGGCCTCTGTAGGCAGGAAACGGCATGGCCAGGAGGGGAAGCTTGGTGTGGCCACTGCACTGCCTTGGTGAGGTAGGAGGTGCCTTACCATTAGGCCTGTGTGAGTAGGGAAGTATTTGATTCACTTGTTTCCACAACAGAATAAATAAGTCAAGTTCTTCATCTAGTGAGCTCCACCTGTAGTTCTCTGGTAATCAAGCTTAATTTACACAGTCTAAGGAACTGAGTTTACACAATGCTTTCTGTATTAAACCTTTAATATCAAACAATTTGCTCATTGTTACCAATTCTTAATTACAAAACAAGCTCCAAAAAGGTCCATAAAATCAGTAAGTTAGGTATTAACTTACTGAACACCATATAAACTAAGCGTGTTCAGGCTTCAAGGGTAAGTGTCCATAATTTTTGGTATAAATTATCTACAAAAAAAACTTGTATAAACAGTATCCCAATCTGATTGCTGCCTCAACCTAGGATTAGACAAACATTTCAGAGTCACATAAGCAAAATAGAAAGGAATTAAAGTTCATTGCCATTGACGCATTTTTGTTGCTGGAGCCTGGCTTTACGTAATGCCTCGAGTTGCTTTGCTCTTAACCACCTCTCTCTTGACAGTGTTGTCTGCCCAGCACTGAGAGACAGAAATCTAGGAGAGCAAGAACAGTTGAGTTAAATATAAGAAGTTATACAAACACCTGCCTTTTTTGGCAACACTTCAAAGAAGAAACAATGCAGTGGGAAGTTTCAGAACCAAACAGCTGGCAGCAGTGATGTCTCAACTATGTCCTCCAGTTGTCCATACTTTACAAAACCTTCTTGAGTTTAAAAATACCACAAGATTGAGGAAGGCATTTTTGCAGATCCTTCCACAGCTGTATTTCAGCTTTCCAATAAAGTGCTGGGACAAACCAGGGCATCTGTTCAGTGGACATAAAACAGTGTCTCTTACGGAGCCAGGACAATATTCTGAAAAGAATGCGTGTCCTCTACAGGTGCTAAGACTTGGACAAGTGGCAGACAGAGAGTAACATTAATAGGAAACTAGGACCTATTAGGTTTTTAGTCACCAAAACATAATGGTGCTCACCTTGCTACAAGCAGAGTTCGATGGAGATCATCAGCTGTTATGCTCTCAGGGTCATTCTTGCGCATTTCTACAAAGTCTTCCTCAACTGCCTAGATAAATTGAATTCGTTAAGTAATTTGGGTTTACAAATGATTATCATCAACCCCCTGGTCAAGGCAGAATCACTCTTTTCAAAAGCACCCCACAAAGTGTTACTTTAACCTGCTCTTCAGTGCTTCCAAGGATGGAGATTCTACAACCCGTCTGGACCACTAGTTTCAAAGCTCGAACACCTTTGTAGTGGGAGAGTCTCTTATTCTCCAACTAAAATTTCCCTTGCTCCTTTTCCTGTCCTCTGCTGCCACAGAATATAGGGTATTGCCATCCTCTATATATTAGATATATCAGTCCATATCAGACCAGCACCGATAAAAGGAAAATTGACATGATTGGCAACTGGCTTTTTTGGCCAGTGTAGCTGATAATGTCACTGATAAATGCCACGTGCATGTGCGCACTCGCAGCATGCACACGGCCAGGAATACAGCCCAGCAGCTTGGAGAGCAGTGTCTGGCTAATATATCTGGGGTGGGGAAAGGGGAGTGGAGGATCCACCATAACTCCTGTGTCCTTTTTGGCAGTACTGCAGCCTAGCCAGCGGTTCTGCAGTCCCTATTTGTGCATATGATTTTTTTTCTACCCTAACTGCAGACCTTTGCATTTTGTCCTTATGGAATTTCATTCCATTACTTTTGAACCATTTATCCAGTTTGTCACGGCCATTCTAAACCCTAATCCTATGCATCAGAGGGTCTGCAATTCCACCTTAAATATCTGTAAGGTTTGTATAGTTCTAGGCAGAGATTGGCCCTATTTTCTAAGCTACTCAGCTGCTTGTGTCCAAAGCAGAGAAACTGAGGCAAGTCCCCCTGCTTCAATACCAAGTGTCTTGATAGCAAGTGTCTAATCTTTCAAATAGTGAAAAGTTTTAAAATGAACCAATTTACAGCCCGGTGCCTTTGCTAACGGTGCTCTGAGGACAAGCAGTTCTTGCCCTAGGTTGGTTTCTGCCCTTGACAAGAAAGTGCTCCCTGTAGCTCTCATGGGAATCTAAACAGTTTGAGGTAAGCAGTTTCAGATAAAGTAAAATGTCAGCTCCATCAGCCTTTACAGTCTGCCATACCTTGGTCACTTCATCGGAGATGCTATAATCCAGCAGCCTCAACAAGCTTAGATAGATGCGGAATTTGTTCAATACAGATGGCAGCACTGCTGTAAGGAGGCTGTTCATATACTCCTCCATGTTTGGTGGAATTATTTGTGGTTGTAAGTGGACCTGGCAATCTGACTGAAGAAACAAAAAGAAGGGGTAAATATCATCTCTAGTCACTCCAGCAAGACTCACTTAAGATTTCTGTGCAACCGTGGAGGTTTTTTGATAATGTTATGTGCAGTTCTGGAAAAGAGTTTGCTGTTTAGCACGAACAAAAATATTTCCCTTGTGAAACAAGTGAATAAAAGCTTCACTTTTTACTTTCGTTTTAGAATCCCTTCTTAGTCAACACCACAGGAATTATCATAATTTGATCGGCAACACAACAAAGGTTTATGTAAAGGAGGACAAAAATTAAGACCTTGGAAGAGTAGTTCAAACAAAGGAACAGTGTATTTGCATAACCTAACATGTTAATATAGCCCAGTCTACATATGTTTTCTTTTTTTCTTCAATAGGGATACAAGATCTGTTTCTCCTTGCACTGTCTAGCATCGCAAACGGTAAGGGAAAGTTGTATTAGAATAACACTTCTATGGTGTTTCTATATCTGCAGACCTTTTCCATTATTGGTAATAGCTAGAACAAAGCATTTTAAGACATCTTGCTGCCACTCCTACAGTGGGGAAAAGTCAGTTTCTCTAATGTAGAGAAGTCATTCTCTGGGTTTTCCTTTGGCTGAATAACTAGACAGGGTATAGGCACTAGATACAGCTCTTCTAGGTGCACTTGGTGGAAGGTAGTAACAAGTGTCACCAACCTGCCCATCCCTCTCGCAATAGGAAAATTGTTTCCCTGATTTCACATGTTCCTGGAATGGCATACTTCATATTCATTAAGTGGCTATCAATGAACTACACCGCCACCCTCCCAATTCAAGAAGACCCTGCCATACCGGTAGGAATGATCTGCCCTCTGAAGTGATAAGTACATTAATATTGCATGGGAATTCCATCTGGTGGTAACTGAAGTCATAATCCACTTTCTGCCAAGTTATCAGGTTACCCAGTGCTGTCACATTATGTACACCTAGAAAAGCAAGAACAGATTCACTAACACCTGGATTCAAAGAACTGCCAAAATTTAAATTCTTTTCCAATCTGGTTTTAATTAACAAGTCAGCAGAAACTTCCTCTGCAAGCTTCCTGGCACTTGGTCACAGTGCCATTAGAAACAGCGTGGTTTGAAAACATAACCAAGGTAGTAAAGGTAATTAAGAGCCTTTGAATGATGTTGGGCCTAAAAGGTGACCTGCCCTAACACAGTGTGGTAGCACTCTGAGAAAAGGTTAGAAGATGAACAGAGCCATGAACACATACACAGCTTACCTGCTAGAGGGAAAGGGTAACGGTACGTGTATTGGAAAGCTTTTGAGTTATATTTCCATTTTAAGGGAATACTGCTGGCACAATTCCAAACTGCCATATCTAACATTTTGTATATACCACTGTTATAAGAAATACTCTAGAAGCCTAGAAAAGCTTTAGCTGCATAAGGCTTAGAGAATAATACTTTTCTGTGAACCTCAAGTCTCAAAGTAACATCCCAGGATTGAGTATGATGGGGTGGGCCTGTCCAGAACCTCTGGGAAAGAGATGCCACTGCCAATAGCACAAAGTTCCAGTTTCTACATGACAGATGCTTGATTTTAAGGTTGATGTTTTAACATACAAAAGTAGCCAAACTCCCACAACGCACCGGGAATGAGCGGATGTGGATACACTTCTCAACCCTGAAGTGGAGATCTGCTCAGTTTTTGGACCCACTGAAAGGTGGGGGAAAGTTTGCATGCAGTTAACCATGCTGTCCCAGTTCTATAAACAGGTCCCATGTTGGGATTACTTGTTGGTGGGCTTAGATTTGTTAAATTCTTTCCAGTATGCATGAGTATCACCTAACTAAAAGGAAGTGGCTTTGTGCATGGGGAGACATGGCAGGATTTGCAGGACTGATGCATTTTACGCTCGGCGAGTTTGGAATCCTACAGCTCATCGTACGTTGTGCTGGCACTAAACAACTGAGCTGATTAAAAACTTTTAGCAGTCCGATTCATTCTCTGCAGCCTGATCTGTATCTGAAATAGCTGAGCTATACTCAAAGTAGGCATCTCTGATGCCAATGCTATATAAATCAGTGATGTTGCTTTTATATTAAATTACAGTAAAAACTCCTCAATGTTTTTGCCAGATTGGTTACTCTGCCCTACTCATTCTCCCTACTTCTACTGCAGAGTACAGAATAAAAAAAGCAAACTACAAATGTGAAGTACAGTTGTTACTGTTCCTTTGACTTTGGGAAACTCTGAAAGACTCTGTGGCTTTCAGGGAAGGGTAATAATCTTTACCTGTCAGTCACTGGTGACATTCTACTTTTGCAAAACAGCTCTTTAACTTTTAATACTGTTTAGCAATATCCTGTGATATTAGGAAGAATGTAGTCAATTCTCATTTAGTGTTCCTAATACCCATGTAAAAACAGCTTTTATAGAATGAGGCTTAGTTACCAGACTAGAAATGGTGCTCTATTATCATGATTTGTGCTGCATGAAAGTTTAATATTGCAGAGCTTATGTGGAAAGAATTGGTATTTTAGACCCAATTCTAGACAACAATCACCATCTCATGAAGATGGTGCTGCAAATGCTTCATGAAGGAGTGGACATGGAGACCACTGTTGTCTCAGCCCTGAGTGGAGGCCCGTCTGGCTTTTGTGCCCATTGATAGCATGGGAAAGTGTGTATGGAACTGACTATACTGTCCCAATTTTGTAAACCAGGTACTTAATCATACAAGGCATTCACACCACACTGAAATGTATTTATCAAAAAATAACTTCTGCTATTTTGAGAGCAGTCCCATCTACCTCTTCTTTCCTCCATTCCCATTTTAGAATAACAAAACACCACTCATTTGCCTTTGAGCAGACCTTAAAGTTAATTACTTGAAGTTGCATAAACGGTTTGGGAGGCTGTTCAATAACAGTGAGGAACAGCAGAGAATGCCCAGAGCCACCTAGATCAGTGTTTCTCACGACCCAAAAGCAGGCCATAAGAATATATGAAAGGGTTATGAACAAACTTTTAAAGTTTGTTGATCCATTTTTAAAGGAGAAAAACATGGGAAACTGTGGCTTTCCCCTGCAGGCTTGCAGAGCCCCAGTCTGCAAGGAGCTGCTTAGGACCCCCATGCCTCCACATCCACCTCCTGCTCCACACACGGGGGAGCTAGGGCAAGGAGCACTGGGTTGGGATGGGCCATCAATGTTTACAAATGGGTCCTGGTACAAAAAAGTTTAAGAACCACTGGTCTAGATTATCTCACAGACCAGTGCAAGATGGGCGTAAGAGCCAACAAATTCATTTATACATTTTGAAATCGCAGAATGGTTCTCAAAAAATGTAATGAGCCAGGAAACTGTAACACTTCATTTTGAAGAAAATCTGTTGAAACAGCAAAGTCCAGCTGATAAATACTAGATTTCTCTTAAGTTGTAACTCCTACTGCCATCAAATTACAGAAGCTGTATGTACTTAATTCATCAGCTGGTGGTTAACTACCTACCCCTGAAAAAAATTTAAAAAAAAGGCAGGCAGGCTATACTTTTGGGACTCTCTCTTGCCCCTTTCTCATAGCTCTCATTCGTAGATCAAGTCTGACAGAGAGCACATCAGAGCATATATTCAATTTGCTTTATGGCAAATATCAGTGCAAAAAAGAGCAAAAAATCCAGGAGATCTTTACTAGTTATAACAGGGGACAAATGTTGCACTGGCAGGAAGACTGACAAACTAGAGAACAGGCCTTCTCCACCTCTCACTTCTGTAATGCTTAATATTTAAAAAGATTTCCCTTCACTGTCTGAAATATGGCTTGTATTTTAAAGATAAAACATTTTAGAAGGCCTTGTCATAAGTACATGACAAGATTTCTATAATGGATTACTTTGTGCATTCAATACCAGTTTAAATGCAGCCAGTTCCAGAGTTTGAACTGTTTTGAAAGGGTTTCCCTCCCATCCCACAGTACTTAAATACTTTTAAAAATAGTATCGTAGCTTCATGAAAGTTGGCCAGCAGACTCTGGAGCAGGTGAATGATGTTTAAAACTATCTTTCATAAACTTTGTTTAGACGCATCAACCTCTTGCTACCTCTTGCCCCAATATAACAAACTTCCTCAAAAGGGAAGTTAGAGAAGATTATTTCAAAGTCCAGCTGTGCTCATTGTGCATCCATAGCCTGTTCAATTATTTCAAGTAAAGTTGTAATACAAATAACCACTCCATTCATTTGTTCCACGCAGAACTGAAAAGGGGAGCCCCATCTGCACGCTCATTCAGTCTTTTCTGCTGAGTACCAAGAAAGCCAGGGTTCAGGGGAGCTCTGCAGTACAAGCATTGGTGAACTAATACTATACTAAGAATTACCAACTCATTTCACGCTGGTCACTCACCCAAAGGGTGAAAGAATTTGTAACACTTTACCTCAGGACAAATTTTACAGTGGAGTGATGGAGATCAGGAACAACTCACCTGTTGCATCAAGCTGTCCTTGCTCAAGCAAAGTCTCATCTATCACAAGAGAAGTATTGCTGGCCAGCTGCAATACTCCACTGACTAAGCGATTAGCTGTGTAGTCCTTGTGTGGGATAAATCGTGAGTGGTTCATGTTTTCTATGGTCATCTGCAGACGGTAGGACTGCCAAGAGAAATGAAAGTTAGATGCTAAATATGCAAATTCTCTCTTCTCCACCAGCCTTGTAGATATCCATATCACACATGATAGATTATTGCAAAATTGCCAAGAAAAGAAACAATACTATCTACATACAATCACAAGTTTCACAGATGTTAAACAGGAAAAAAATATTCCAGGAAAACAATTATGGTGAGCGTGTGTGTTTTAAGCCACCCATATACAGCTTGTTGTACAATACTGCAATTTCTTACTCACTATGGTCCCCAAGCACATTGCTTCTTTTTGGTAGAATGCTTTCCAGAAATTTGTGGTGAATCAGTAAGTATAGAAAAGTGAAATGATCTGGATGCACAAACATTCAAGGAAATTATACTGGGAAGCAAATCACGCCATAATTAGAAATCCATTAAAGCATGTCAATGCCATCCTTACTGCTGGAACAAGCTGCTGGATAATACGGTATATGTGCTCTGTGAAGATGCTATTTCTCGGACAGCCGCTCAAGTTGACTGTGAATTTTCCCAGAGGAAGCACATCTCTTCTCGCATAGCTAGACCAAAAATAAGACAGACTCGGTGAACATCTGGCCAACAGAGTATTCGAACATATTATCAATCACTTCAAGAGTGCCCTGTAGCATCTCTGGCATCTGAGCATATGCCCTAGCTCCACAAACCCTAGAGGCAGTGTATTCAAAGGGCTCTCTAATTTGATTTAACTGGCTCTATTCCCGCTGATTACAGGTTAGAGTACACTAAAGTTTGTGGTGAACTCATACTTTTAAGTGTCACAATATCAGGTACTGTACTAAATTAGTATTAAAGTACTATTTTTAGACTTTATAACGAAGCAAATGCAGCAATTTGCATTTTTCCAAATATCGGTTTTCAATTTGTGTAGAACCTTTTGCCTTCAATATTTTTGGTTTCAGTTTATCCGACAGATGCAGAGGCACTTTAACTAGAAGCCTTCTAGTATAACCAGAAGGACATGACTTCAGTGGCACTTGGACACCTACTCTAATCTTCAGGAAACATTCTACTTGGCACCAATCACCAACAAGCCTAAAACTAGAACTACACCAACATATGTCGCATGTCGGATCAGCACCAATAAAAGTAAAAGTAACAGTATTGGCTATCAGCTTTTTTTTTGGTCGGTGTAGTTGATAATGTTCACTGATAAATATAATATGCCTTTTGGCCAGGGCCCCTGGACGCTGCATGCACGCAGCCACATGCATGCACATGGCCAGGAGTGCAGTTGGACACTGGAAAGCAGCATCCTGCAGGTAAGTCTGTGGAGGGGAAGGAACATGGAGGGGAGGAGGCAGATCAAGGCCCTCACGGTGAGGGAGGGAGTGGGGCAGGGGGCGCTGCCCAGCCAGGGTGGTAAATAGGATCTGGGGCCAGGGCAGGTGGCTCCCCACCACTGAATGCACCTCCTGAGGGAGGCATGGAGGGACACCAAATTGGTGCGCAGGTGGGCTGAGGGCTCTGCTCTTCTGTCTTTTCCTTGGGAGCCCCATGCTGGCTGTATGCCCCCTGAGTATCTACAGAGTAAGATGTGGATTTCCCCCTTTACCAGAGGAAATTGTGGATTTTTCATTTTAGCAGAGAAACCCATGGATTTTACAGTTTTGCAGCAAGCTCTCTGCAGGCTGGCAGAGTTCCAGGAAGGGACAGGGAAGAGGGCGCCAAGGCAGGGGGCACCATGTGCATGCACGTTCCTCTGGAAGGGCTGCAGGGGGTCTTCCATTTTAATCATGGATTTTGGGGGGTTTATCAGAGAATTTGCAATTTTTTATATCCGGGAAAATCAGGATCCCTGGCTATCAGATTGGTATTGGCAGATGTGGCTGGTTAATAATAGACTATCGGTATTGGCCAAGAAAATCTTTATTGGTGTATCCCTACTAAAGGCCTCTGACACTCTAGCTTATAGTAACCAGAAACAATCAATCAGTTAAATCATTAAGTACTGGTACTTCATTAACAAAGTCAGTCAGATTTAAACACAACATGTTTTGTTAGTCTCCAATCCATGGACTGAGTTTTCAAAAATAAAGGGTGAAGAAACAGAAGGAAGGAATTTGTTTTAACCCTCAAACACAAAGGATGCTTA